CAACTTGATCACGTCCCTCCCTCTGCAAGCAGATAGGGAAATCCTAGTGAGGGTATCACAGTCAAGCAAATACTGCTTCTGATCTTGCAGTCAGGCTTGTGGAGAGTTTTGCCTATAAAAATAGGCAAATGTTTCCACTGAAATGCACAGTACATAATCAATCATGCCCAGCGCATAATCAATCATGCCCAGCAGGCCTTACAGATCAACAAACCACTCTCTAATCAGAAGGCTGCCCAGAGCTGCGTTCCTGGAGAGACCAGGCAAGAAAATCATTTAGGGCTGAAAATGCAGCACTGCTTACACTGTTTCTTTACAATGATGGTCAGACAACACAGCTGCAATTAATTTTGCCCCTGTTATCTGTAGCTATTGTAGAAGGACCTAAACAGGCAATGGGGGAGAGAATTCCTAGAGATGTTTCATTTACTCTAGCTCAATTACTTCACATACTCTTTCATTAAATTATATATAAATAGATAAAGTATAGGTTAAGTGAATAAAAATTAATTTCACCACAATAAGCAACTTTCTATATGTATAAAAGAAACAGAAGACAGCAATATCCAATATATTACTGCCATGGTAAATGTCGCAGCTTAATAGCAGTGAACCAGAAGAGCACAGGAACTAGAAGGTTTTATTGCACAACAGCTGCTTTCACCCTATAGGAAGTGCTTAAGCAGCTCAGGTTTAGCTTTGGCTTGTCCTTTAAGAACAAAAACTTAATGTAGAAAAAGGCGGAGTTTGTATTTCTTTTTCAGAGGAGGTTTTTGTTCAGAGGAGATAGGGCACAGGAGGACTGGGGGAAAGGAAAATGATGTGGCAAGGGGATAATAAAAAAATTCACAATATTTTGAGGTCATCTAGCAAAAACTTAACAGAAGCACAACTGTTCAAATACTTCCACCCATCAGAGAGGTAGAAGTGATGCCTGCCTAGCTCCTTTTTTAATTCTTACAACCTTTCAGGTGTTTCCAGTCCCAGAAAGGACAACACATCTGACACTAATGCATAAAAGTTTTGAAGAGTGGTCAAAACACTTCTGTCTAAAAGGACCTTTAACCCCATCACCATTTCCTGACAATTATCCTTATATTTTACTTAAAAAAAAAAAAAAAAAGGAAATTTCACCCCTTGCTCTCCCTCTCCCACCCTTACAACCTCATCCTCCAAGAGGCAGAAGTCATTCCCTGCAAGGACCTCTTCAGCAGCCCACCCCATCTTGCTGTCTTGCTTTGGGAGTAAGTGTGTGTTATGGTAAGTAACTGATGAAAATACAAATGAGCAAACAGGTCTGTGAACTCCACGCCGCTGCCTACTGGGAACATAATCTTTGGTTACATCTGACCTCTACAGATGTAGCTACCCAGAACACTGGTAGGCGTGTGCTTGCTTCTGCCCACAAGACAAGGCGATTAGTCCCTGTGGGATACCACTCTCATTTTAGTAAATGACCTTTCACTACTCAGATCCTAGGGACTTGGGCTGTGTTTGATCACTCATGTTTGAACTGGAGGTCAGTCGAAAGCGTACTCTCCTCTGTTGTACAGATAACATCTCAACTCTCAAGTGAGAATTGCAGTTTATAGTCGAGTGGTCAGACCCCCTTCTCCAAGACAGCAGTCCTTCATGCACCAAAACTACCAACAGATTAAAACTTTAGAAGGGAAGTAAGGAATTTAAATTTTATTATGATATTAAATAATTTGTCTACTCAAGCTGAACAGTTTCATTTATGCTGAGTTTCAGAAGTAGGAAAGCTATTGAACTCCTATGAATTTTGTTCAAAATGCCCAAATGAAGAAATCTGAAAAGACTTAATGCTGTTAATCTCTCATTTCATTTTTGCATTCCAAAACATAAAAATCAGCAAACAGAAAAGTCACCGTCTCCTATTTTACTCCAAAAGACACTTCCAGAACAGGACACAATGCAGAGAGAAAGGTCTGCAATACTTTCTCAAAATTAAATAGAAAATGTAAACAATGAACTTTAAAAAGCAATTTAATTCTGATGTTAAAATTCTCCTGCATGCAATAAAATATTTATTTCAGGTCTGTCACATTCTGCCTGATACTGTAAAGAGCTGCCCTATGAAGCACCTTGAATACATCAGGACTTTGACGGCTAAGATACCTCTGAACACCAAAGACCCCTGTTCAGATCCTTGCTCCAAATGCAACAACAGAAGAACCTGAACACACACCACACCCCAGGCAAGCACGTTAACTGCTGGGCTATTACCAAGTATGGACCTACCCCTTCTCTTCAGATATCACTGACACACATTTTAAACTGTCCATGCTCCCGTTAGTGTTCTCTTCTCCTGCATGAAAACACAAGAGGGCCACGAGTCTGTCCATGCTCTACAGTTCCACCTACTGTAATTTCAGCACACCTGAAACACCAGGTACTTGGTTAAGGTATTTTCACATTTCTAAAATTTCAGAATCTGCAAGCAATAATGAAAGCCCTGTGGCTGAATGCCTCAGAAGAACATTTATTATGCTGGCGCTTTTTGAACTGTTATTTTGGATAGAGTTCCTCACAATGATTTTCATTCTTATTCACTGAGATCCTTAAAAAACAGATAAGGTATGATGGGCTTTGTCTCATTTTGTGGTCAACGAAGTATACTCATCCATGCTACCAAGTCTCTTGCAGTCCGTTTTTCAGCAGTCTTATAGAGATACTCATATGCCCTTGCTAATAAGGATTCTGCAGTATGATAACCTTCTGTCTCAAAATCACATATTGTCCTGGGTTTAGCAGGATACTGCAGAATTTAATGTTACCCTTTACTTTGGCATCTGAAGAGAAGTGGGTAACCTGAGCTCTGCTAAGGATTTAAAACAATAAACAGCAAGCTTCATTTCACAGCATTTTTCTACTTCATTAACAATAGCTGGGAGAGGTTTTTTTTTAATAAAAGGGCAAATGCAGCAATAAGAAACTGAAAGTCATATTAAACCCCTTATTTCTTCCCTGTTTTTGTAAACATCATCTAATTAATTCAAGATGACCTTCCACAATTGGATATGAAAAATCTGAGAAGGCATATGGATGTTCTCATCAGAGCAGAGGACAGCCGACCCAACGAGTCCTGCCAGGAGGCAAAGGGAGAAGGAATTCACCTCTAGGGAACACATAACTCCATCAAAACAGTCCTAGACAGAAGACTGGAAGCGGCTTCTAAGGAGGCAGGAGAACATCGAATGTGTTGAATATGTGGACAAATGGCCCAATATCTCACCTCAGATTAAAAGTGAAACTTGTCTGCAGAACTGTGGCAAGAGTAACAGAAATGTTTATCATGCTATTCAATCTGGACTCCAGGTTTGTTTTCTACTTCATTTTCTAATTCTGCTAATGTAGCAGCTCAACCTGTATGTCTGAAAATATGCAACAACATAATATGTTCACTTTTCTGTTCCAAACAAAATATGGAAACAAAGAACAATCTTAGAAGACAACTTTACATGTGAAATTAAGTTATTTCCTAAAATCTTAAGCATACTGTGCTCACAACTGGTGTCACAATTAGTCTTAAAAAGGCATTAAAGATGTTTATTCATCCTATTTTTCAACTTGTTTGGGAAAAAATATCCATCCCTCCAAGGACAGATATTTTACAGTTACAGGAAAGGGGAGATCAGCACTTCTTGAAGTGGATTATCTGCATGAAGCAACACAAAAAGGCACTTAAATCCCGTGCTTCAGCCACCTGAATTGTAAAATGGAAATTTGAATATTCAGTTTGAGCAGGAAGTTGGACTAGGTGATTTCCTGAGGTCCCCGCTAACCTGAATTTTCTGACATTTCTACTTGCTTAGAGACACATAAGGATAACTGTGAAAGGCACTCAGCCATTACAGGGTTAATTACTGGTGAAAATCTCAAGGAAGTATCTAACATTTTCAAGTTTTTAATGTACAGCTTTTTACTAGATATATATGGGGGAAAAAATGGTGTCAAAATGCTCATGAACTCTGTGGTTTTCACAAGTGTCATCTATGAGAGCAAGAGGAAAACGATGGTCATCCTGTTCTGGGTAATGTAGCAGAACTTGCTGGTTTATGTTGGTTTTTAGATAGCAAGCAAACCAAAAAACAACAAAGCATCCAGTATTTTTTAAGTGACAATATAAACTCAGAAGGTGTTTCACTGAATACTATGTGCAAGTCAATTTACCAGGCAGGTTAAGGAAAAAAAATCTCTTCAGATAGACTGATGGCAACACCAAATCATGAACAACAAAAAGAAACAGCACTTGTCATCTTGCAACATAGAATACCCAATTTGTGGTCATTTTCCCCACCGTGAATAGAAGTGAGTCTGTTTAGCATTACTGGACATGGGTTATTTTATATTAATGTTCAGCATTTCCTAGAGGAGTCATTCCTTTTCTTTCTCAAAGCAGTGAAGTCCTTGCCCAAAATGCAAGATTCTTTAGATTACTGAGATTCTCAAGATTATGACCCAGCTGTATGCCTATACCAGGATGTAATGGAACTTAAGATACTACATTCCCTCTATGCAGTGTAAGTCACATTCACGACTATAAAGTGGTTGCAGGTATGACACTAAAAAATAATAATTAAAAAATGGTATCAGGTAGGATGATTCTGTGTCTAATTTAGAAGATTACATCTTGGGGTTAAGCTGGGTCAACAATCTCGTTCTGTTAAGACATGCCCTCTTCTGAGAGTAACTTGGCTGCATCACATTCTAAAGGCACAAACATTGCAAAAGCAATACAAAGTCCTACACTGCAGATGGCCTCAGTTTCTGCTAGTACTGCTTTCAGTTTTCTAGCTCACCTCTCAAATAGTGGAGCTGTGATTGATTTTGGACTGCCTCTACACAAATACTTGTCTTATCATTTCACAGTATTGCTTACCAAACTTACCTCTAACATCCCATTAAAAATAAAACATTAAAACAGCAAGCAGAAAAAAAGATTAAAGAAAACACACAAAAAAGCCAACTGTCCTTACCTTGCTGGAGGCACATCAATATTTGAAGAAACAACCTTGCGCTTCTGTTCCAGAAGGCAAACAGAACGAGTGTTTTCCTTCTCATACTCATGAGCTCTGTTTGGTTTTTTGGTCTCTGCTGTTTTTAAATCTTCCTCCTTTGTGGTGAACAGGAGAAACTGCTGGTCTGGCAGTTTTTGACTGACGTCATATTTTACATCCTCCTGCTGAAATGCAGGAAAGGTCATTTCACGCTTGATGCTGGCTGCCTGTAAAATTGAAAGCAATTAGTAAATTTTCCTCTAATTCTCCAAAAATATAAGGGGGGGGGGGGGTGGGGTGTGTGTGTGACACAATGGGATGGACACGACACACAACTCAATACCCACAGGCATTTACTTCTAATTAGTTCTTTGAATCAGAGAATACCATTTCTTTGCCCTTCATAAAGTCTAAACCTGCCATTAATTTCTCAACAGTGTTGAAGACTAAGCAGAAAAATAAGCAATTATTTTCCATTTGATAAAGCAAGCAGTTACCTCTTATTGTTAAATCAAAAAGGTATTTGAAGTATCAGAAACCCCAGAATATATACATTGAATGTATACACATCTGTGCTGCATAACTACACAAAATAAATGCCGGCTGCCCTCCTCCTAAAACTCCAGGAAAAGTCAGAATCCAGATAAAAGGCAATAAAGAAAGCAAAGCTCTTCTGCCAGTCACTTACTGGATTCTTTAACAGCTGCATTTGTAAATACAGGTTTCTCCAGGAGCAGAAAAATTGTTCACTATGATCCAACTCAGGTGCCAGAAGGCAAGGGGGAGGAAGATACACCAGCTGGAGGAGCCCATCCAGCAATGAGGAGCACCGACACAGACAAGAGCAGTGTCAGGTTGTCTCTTCGGCTGCCAGCACTTCCCAGATCTTCAGGTCTGCTGCTTCCCATAAACAGAGACTTCCTTAGCAAACAGGTCTCTTAACAAATACACTACCTCTCTGGAATACTACGCATTGGTGTTTATAAACTAAACTCTTGCAAGGTTGCAGTGAAGAGCATGGAAAACCAACAGAACCAAGCCACTCCGTCTTCCCAAAAAGCAAAACAAAGCCCAGGACCTAAACTCTTCTCTGGAATGCCATTCCCTGGCCAACTATGCTGAGATAGGTCACAGGAACAGACTATCTTGCAGACTGTCATGAGTCGCTCATTCTGCTGTACAGCAACCAAACTCCTCCAGACCCTCAGCTTGCTAGCTTCCTCATGCCCCTGCCTGCCAGAAACACCCGCTAACAGAGTTATTTCTAGATATCTGTGCTTTTAAGATCAGGAGCTTTAACTGCTAACTTGTGGTAAGTCCAAGAGATGTACCAGGGAGGCAACCCGAACAGCCACACACAATACGACCCAACAAAATAGATGCTTGTCCCACTGTGAGCAGAGGTACTTCCATGACACATGCACCATCTTGGAGAAGTCCAGACACCTAGGACTGGCAAACTGGACTTGTAGATGCCTGTACATTATTGCTGATCTTTACAGTGGAGAGATCGAGGATGTGTTGCCCTCAGAAAGTACCCCCACCAATAAGCTGAAATTCCCTGTGTATACTCTTTCCCTGTACTCCTTTTCATCATCCAAAAAGTTTACCAATATATGTGTATATGTTTACACATAAAAATGTATAAAAATATGGTCCTCTCTCCACATACCTCCCTGTTTCTAGCTTTCAGACCTTGGCAGGTATAGAAACAGCACAAGCAATTTTAAGTTCACAGGAAAGACAACCTTGCCAAGGTAATTTTGTTTTGTTCGGTAAAGTATGTAACATTGCTAACTTATAAATACTTCAGACCAATTGTCTTATTCTAGTGTTTCCACAGAAACATTTTAGACATTGCTTAAAGAACAAAACTAGAACTGTTCCTTTATGAATGTAAACAGTAGAAAGAATTAGTCATTTTACACATCTTCACACACAAATAGATGACACATTACCAAGAAAATCTGCCTGGAAGACAAAACAATCACCATGTGATCACACAAAATTAGGAGAAAACTTATAAACAACATAAATTTAATTCTGATTTAAGGATTATTTTATAAAAATATTCTTAGGTTTACAGTAAGCCTGTTTTTTAGGGTCTGAGGATCTTAGCAGATGCTGAGTTCCCTTCAATTTTCAACAGAATTGACTTAGAAGTGACACACTAAAGCAAAAAACACCCCCCAAAACCTGAAAATAGCCACATTCTGATATCAAGCCCTTAGAAATGATATAATGCAAATGAAGGTACCTACAAGACTCGAATTCTATCCATTCCGTTGCCATATGGTCTTGCATTGCATAACCACGCATCATTTCCTCCCTCCCTAGGGTTTCCACCTTATCCAGTGCAGAGGATGGTGCTGAGCAGGGCATGAGCAGCTACATGTGCTGTGCTTGGCAGGGTGCTGGTGTGCGCATGTATGAGGCAGGACCCAGCAGTTTCCTCCTTGCTCTGCACAGCCCATAGTGGAGAAAGCCCTGAGAGCACAGGGGCAGCCTCCCTTATTTCCTACTCTCCAATGCTAAACTGAACACAGTATTCATCAGGATGATTTGATTTTTTTTTAACCCAATAGATCCATGATTTTACCAAAGGAAAAAAAAAAAACAATCCGAAAAAAAACCAAACAACAAAACAACCAAAACCCCTTCAATTTATGGAACTATAATATCTTATTCAGTTTCAGCAAACATATTGTGCCATACACTATCAAGTTTTCTTTACAGACCTAAACAGTGATGACAAAAGGTCGCAGGCTCAGACTGCAGCTGTACAAATAAAACCTAACCGTAAAGAGCAGAATACTTGTACTGTGATACCATATAACCTATTCACATACAGTTCAAATATAGTCAAATAACAGCTTCGTTTTCATATGTCAATATGCCATAATTAACAGCCAGCCCCATGCAAGCATACGGAAGTGACTATAACCACAGAAGCAAGTGCTTAGTCAAAGCCAAACAGTCCCAGGTCCACTGGCTAAAATGGCCAAAAATAGCAGAAGACCAAATCCAATGCTCAGACTAACTCTCCTCTAGTCCTTCAGTTTTCAACAGATGTTTGGAAATATTAATCTCCTTCTAAACTTTCCCTTGAGAGCAACTGCAGATAAAGAATCTTTTCTGCTTCAAAAGCAGGTGATCACGAGAGAAAGCCATGAGCTTCCCTTGGGGGCCACTCTCTTGTGGCATTCTCCTGCTGTACAGGCAATTTTTCTGTTTTAATTCATCCATGTCTACAGGAGCCATTTCCACTTGAGACACCTGCCCTAAACTGAAGGATACAGGGTCTTTTGCTGAAAACCCAATCACCTACACAAGCCGACATTGATGTGCAGAGTGCCAAAGGCCACAGACTGATCATTTCTTGGCAAACACACTGATTAACCATCAGGACCCTGCTGCTTTCAAGCTCTGCTTCAACATCACTTACAGTTCTGAAAAACATGGACAATTTCCAGTATATTTTTCCTGTAACTGTTCTACAATAACCAAGCAGGAATTATTATTTTTCCCCTGACAGATCCTTCACACTCTTTTAACCACTTTGAGGCTTGTGGTGTTGTAAGTCCATAGCATGTTTCATCAGAAATTTTGTGGAAGGTCTAGTCCAAAGAGAAGCAGCCTGTCTTGCAGACAGCCAGATGTTAACACTGTAACTTCAATTTAATTCAGCTTACTTCAAATACTTCACATTTCTCTCCCTTGTTGTTCTCAAACTCCACTTTTATCCTGTGTGCTTCTGGTTTGGCTTTTCTTACATCTCTGTATTTGCCACCTTACTGCCTTCAGCATCAACTGCTGATAAAAACACATCCAGTTTTTTCCAGACACTTAGATTGTCACTCATATAAACCATTCTGTAATAGGCTAACAGTTTTTCTATGCAATTCATTGCATATTTTCACCCTTAAGCCATCAGCAACCTTCAACTTAATTTCAACCGAGTCATTTGCAACCTGGCCACAGGCAACTGACATCACTTGGAAGTTCAGTCACAGAAACAGGAGTTACAAACCACGTCCAGATTTTAAAAACTAGCTTTGTTCCTGTCTGCAGATACCCTCATCTGCCTTTGACAACTTCTCTCCATAACCACCTGTGCAAGGGAAACTTTTGATATGTCTCTGCTTGGAAACAACAGCTCAGTATTACATGCACCTTCCCTGCTGGAGCTCTGCTCTGGCACTGCCCCACACCTGGGGGCTGATCTGGCTTTACTTGTTCCACTGCTTTTCAGCCACCACCAGCCTTCCCACCCGCTCTCCTCTGACTTTTCAACACCTAATAGTGCAAACATGTCAAAAACTTCTTCAAAGGCACAAGCTGGGTCACAGAATGGAGAGCCATGAAGATGATGAGAGGGCTGGAGCACATCTCCTGTGAAGACAGGCTGAGAGAGTTCTGCTTGTTCAGCCTGGAGAAGTGGCTCCGGGGAGACCCTATAAGCATCCTTCCAGTACCTAAAGAGGCCTACAAGAAAGCTGGAGAAGGACTTTTCACAAGAGTATGTAGTGATAGGACAAGGGGGAATGCCTTTAAACTGACAGAGGGGAGATTTAGATTAGATATTAGGAAGAAATTCTTCACTGTGAGGGTGGTGAGGTATTGGAACAGGTTGCCCAGAGAAGCTGTGGCTGCCCCATCCCTGGCAGTGTTCAAGGCCAGGTTGGACAGGGCTTGGAGCGATCTGGTCTAGTGGAAGGTGTCCCTGCCCATGGCAAGGGGGTCAGAACTAGATGATCTTAAGGTCACTTGCAGCCCAAACCATTCTATGAATTGTGAGTCCTTGGCCAATGTACACTATTGACACCATGCAACTGTTAAAAAAGACACAGTTCAGGATAAGGATTTAAGATTTCCATCTGATTTACTATGTAACCAGTTGGTCTAATTCTATCCAAAAAACTCTTTTGATTAAACACCAATTAAAAAAACACCAATAGCTACAAGCCAGTTTAGCACCAGCCAACGTGCTGGATAACTGCTGGTTTGTATAAACATTTTTTTCTTTCTGACTTTGTGACCAACTCTTTCCATTTTCTGAAATAGATGTAAGCATGCTAAATGTTAGGGACTGCCAATAAACCTTCCATCTGTTAAGAAAACAAAAGTCACAGGATTTTATTTTTTTTTCTTCTTAAACAAGGCTTTTGCAATGTTTTTATCCACTACAGAACAAACATGCAGCTCAAAAAAAAGCAAAAGAAGGAAT